AAGATTTAGCGGTACATGCGTATTTTCTTATCAATCGTGAAACTGTTACGAAGCACCATTATTTAGTAACAATTATGGATATGCAAGAGGCCACAAAACACTCATAATATCTGTGCCTTAGTTTGATGTAATCTAATTAATTTTCAATATGCCATGGTCTGGATCAAAATTTAAAGTTAGTCTTGGTAGACCAATATATAGTGCTTCTGCTTAAATGCTTATGCTTATGTAGCCTGATAGGCTTTTATAAGCTCTATTCATCTAATCCCTCAGGCGATCAGATTATAAATTTTCAACTAAATACCAGCTGGAAAATCGGAGTACGGAAGTAAAGAGGGCCCATTGGCCATGTGGAGAGCTTAGTCCTTTCAGAGGAGGAACACATAACACACCCCCTGAGCTTGTGAGCTATATATATATATATATATATATATATATATATATATATATATAATGAAGTGAAAAAATACATCTGTACAATTAACAGAGTTACCACTCAAACGGGAGAATGAAATTCCCTGACTTTTCCAGGTGTGTTTTAAGAAAATTCCAGTCTATCCATGTAATGGACATTAGCTGCTCTAAGAGGTAAATTAATTATGTTACCACTTAAAAGCACAAGAATTCACCAATTACATATGATTATATATATATATATATAATGTAATATGATCTTAAATTCATTTAGTTCGAAAACAAGTTTTTCTAAAACTTGCACAATAGCTGCTAAGTAAGATAATAATAATTTATTTACTAAAGAAACATTGATTATATTATCTCCTAATACAAATTTAGTAGAAGTATCTAAAAAGATGAACCCATATGTAGGCTGTTGCCCAAACAGGAGAGGCATAGCACACATGATCGACCTAAGTATCATAATATAAATCTGCCTTTTTCTGCATAGGTCTAATACAGTGCTCATAAAAAAACTTCCCTGATATACATGAACCCCTAAATGGCCTATCAGCTCAACCAATCAAAATCAAATTTCGGATATTATTATTTGAACTCAAGAACATGATAATTTAAAATAATAGAGTACTTTTAATTACATAAAAAATTTTGGAATTTTAATTTTGTAACACCCACATATTTTTGTGCAAGATCAGCACATTGAAAAACCATAAATGGAACTGTAACAATATATGAATGATAAAAATTGCACACATAAAATATTTGCAAAGAAGAGCATTGTAAAGACCAATGACAACAGAGGGGAAGTGTACGGATGCACTTTGTGTAATTCACAGGGATAGACAAAAGCATTCACAGGGCTGATGAAAATCCTCAGGATGTGGTACCAGCACCTTTACATGAAGCTAAAGTGACTGTGTAGAGATGTATCGCAAACACATTCATTCTTGGTCTGTACATCTTAAAGTCACCACTGCCACAGGTATGAAAAATGAAAACATGCTCCATCACAAGTGCTTAGTATACAACAATATTAAAGAATAATGTAATTTCAGAATTGCAGCAGTGAAATGTAGTAAATGACATTGTATGGATGCAAGATCGTACTCCTTTACATGCCGCCACATGTGTTACGCAAATGCTACAACAGCATTCTGAAGATAAGAGTCATCTCCCATACCTTTGCAGTTTTGTGGCTATTGCAATCTCCCAACACCACTCTGATGGTTCTGAGGTTATCTGAAATCTAGGGTGTATATATCAAATACATACAATTTGTCAGAATTAAAACGAAAGTACGAAGTTATACAGATTCCTCTGTGATGTTATTTATGTCATTTTTGTCAACAATCTGCCATAACCATCATTAAAAACTTGTAATTCCAAAAATCGTTTTCCCCTCTGCTCTCTTGTGTTGCCATTGGTCATTACTTTTCATCACACATGTATAGTTCCAACATCAATTATGGTTTTCCAATGTGCTGATCAATTTGCAATTCAAAAAGACTAAAATTCTTTTACTGCAACCATAACTATGAGAACTCTACAGTTTTAAATCATCACAATATCAAGCATGTATCTTCAAATAATTATAACTGAACTATCATTTTACTTCGATTGTTGACAGCATAGGCCACTAAATGTTCAGAGAACATCCTGTACATTACACCATATTGCTAAGAAATACTATAGATACCACGAGTTTACAATTGTAATGAGGTCATTAATAAATGATTGAGAATTTAAGAAAAATTGGTTATTCATTTCTTTAGTATTTAATTTTTTGGTTGTTTTTAATAAATAATTTTAATGTGAAAATGGTGATGAATATCCCATTCAAAAAGGGATGTTGTTTGGAAACTTTAAAATCACATTTGTGATCTCCAGTTCATTTACGGCTCGTACAGAGAATTAAAATCTCTTAAATAGGAAAAGAACATCCAAATACCATTGATAAAACAGCAATAGATTGGAACAGTTAAGTGCGGGAAGTTTGCACTCACAGCATTCTAAACAAAGCATCCAGGAAAATTAAAATTTTTGTCGACAGAGGATGCTGCACTAGCTCAACAACAAGAAATATGTAAATCAGGCACTAGCTCAACAACAAGAAATATGTAAATCAGAGTCCTATAAATTGCAGTTTTTAAGATTAACAGTTCATTTCTTATTTTTTCTCTTACTTGCTTGTACATAAAGTTTTAACTGTGATGCTGACATTATTGGATAGCGATATTAGTGAAGTTGTTTTACCTCAGCCAATGGAAGGTTTCAGACACAGAAGGGATGGATGAGAGGTTCAGCTCCAATCACTCTTACCAGACTGATTTCTTTGTTACAATGTTTCGAAGAAAGGGAAGTTTGTGTCCTTGCTTTTGTAGTGGTGCACCAAGATTATAAAAGGTCCATAATCCCGATGTAGCTTTGCAGGCTGACACTAACAGAACAATCAATGAATGCAGTAAGTAGCACACGAGAAATGGCATTGAACACTGGTACACCGAAGCTATACTGAAGATATTGGTATTCTGTAAAAATGATGATGATTCATACTTTCTCAATACCTTGTGGACAGATAAGGCTCATTTTTCATTACATGGAATAAAAGTGATACTGCACTTATTGAAACATAATGTCCTTGACACAGTAATGTTCATGCAACATGGGGCATCTCCTCACATCCCAAATGAAGTGAAAATGCTCCTAAGAACTTTCACAAAGAGCAATTAAATAACTATCACTGTAGAAACGAGTGGCCCTTCACTTGTCAGACTTTACACCACACGATTTTTGGCACTGGGGTTAAGTCAAGTCCAGAGAGCACCACAATAACCCACATTCTTTGGTGCAATTAACAGATGTCATTCATCAAAAAAATCTCTTGCATCTATTCGGATATGCTACATGCTACTGCTAGCAGTGTTGTAACTCACTTGAGAACTATAATTTGTGGTGATGGCAGACAGATAAAATAAGTGTAAACACTTGCCTGCATGCAAATAAATATAGTATTCCTTGAAATGTGTGAAATAATCTCACACAACAACCTCTATCAAAGAAAATGTTAACTATTTTTTTTTCTTTATCCCTCCCCCCAAAAAATCCTCTTCAAGAGAATAATTTTATCGCAAACTGCGTTCAGTTCTACCAATTCCTCTGAATTTTAAAAATATTAACAGATTTACGGAAGACCCTGTACATAAAAATACTGACTGAGAAAGAGACAGTTATGATTCAAAATTTAGCTAATAACAATCCAATTTTAGGAAATTTAGCCATAAAAATTACATTGGTACTTCTACAGCTAATAAAGAAGTACAAATTAAATTATGAATTTTCTTTAATTTATTTGTGTACTGATGAGGACTTCTTCAACTTGAATTATATAAAATAAATCAAAGAATTGCACAAACTTGATCACAGTCGCAAAAGATCAGTTGAAACTTCAACACACATTTCAACTTACTCGAATCTTAAATGTGCAAATCCACACATACTCTAATAAATATTCATGACTAGCGAATTAATTAAAACTCTATTTACTGACATACAGTCATGTTTATCAAGCAAAAGTGAATAACACAAAACATTTTAAAATTTAAATTATAATATTTTGGTGAGAATTAATTATGTTATTTTAAATGATTTTTAATTCTATATTATTATATATTTGAAACAAACCCCAAAGAATAAAGTTCTTTTACAGAGAAATTAATTATCAAGAATGGATTCATTTCAAATCAGAAGGATTACATAATTTTACTTTTCATTTAATCTGAAAATTAATTATATGAAATTTAATATACAAGTTCTTACACACTAATTGCATTAAATTCTTGGACTCAATGCAATTGTTGCATAAAAACAATGATTTCATTAAATCTATGAATTTCATTAAGAATCAGACACAAACATGAACTTGCCAAAACATAATTAATGAAATAAATATAAACAAAAATCAAAGGGAAAAAAATTAAAAACAAACCAATTTAAAAATTATGTAGTGGTACTTAGAATGATGTTACTGGTTTTTCAAATAGCATTTTGTATATAAAATATGAAAATTATAAAACAAACTATGATTTTCGTACTATTTTTCATATAGTTTAACTAATATAGGTACCTAATTAGGTAGCAAAATATTGTTACTGTTCAGTAAATTAATAAATTATTTTTTTCTCAAAATTATTTACTTAAAAAGTCCTATCACACTAGATACCATACTATAGGCAATTATCAACTTTTTTTTAGAAATGTGTGCTCACAGAACCAGTTGGATGAAAAATAACCATGCACAAATTTTTACTCCAACATCTGTCAATAAATGAGTTAAAACCTGAAAGAAGCTAGATGATTAGAATCCTCTTTTACCAATGTGTGTGGCAAAGGATATTTATATGGCATCCAATTCAAGCTATCATTTGAAAACATAAATCTAACGATGTATGTACATTTTAGAAAACATCTAGACATCAAACTTTTTTCGAACCTGATCAAACTTTTAGGATTAAGTTTAAATGATAACTATACTTTAAACAAAATAAAATACCCTCATTATGAATTGAAAAAAATTCTGTACTTACAAGTTACAGGCACAAAAGGTTGTTGGACCTGCATGGCAAGTGCCTGCTGATAAGCTGCACCAGTTGGCTGATAAACTGGGAGGCCACTTTTATCAACAGCAGCTCGTTTTGCATATGGAACTATTCCAGGAAATGTCTGCCAATAAAATTACTTTAAATTCAGTTTTTGTAATTAAAAGTTTTTTTTATAAAAATGTAAAGGGGAGAATAACAATACAACAGAAACAAGGGGGGGAAGCAAAATTGAAGAAATAAATTTACTAAATTAGACAATATTATTTCTAATTTTAAATTTATGCCAATAACTTAAACATAAAATGAACAACACATCAAAGAGTAATACATTTTCTGCTAATTATAGTAAAAACTCATACCAATAGCTAAAATCTAGTTTTAAAGATGATCTGTACATGGATGTAATTTAGATGATAAAATTGAATGGGAGAAAATTTAAATAATAAAAAGTAAGTACTTCAATAAATAAAATTTATAAAATTACTTTCAGTCCATATATTTACACCAATAATTTATGGCATCAAAGGGTGAAACATCAGTTCAAAGAACTGCCAGTCTACATTAACACATGCATAAGAATGTATCATTTACATTAGCATAGCCCCCTCTATAAGATCATAGACTTAGCTCACTATACAGTGCTTAAATTCTCTCTTAAGCTCATAGATTAGTTAGTTTAGTACAATGTCTAAAACATTTCTTTTAATACGAAATAAAGAAACATAAATATAAGCTTTACCATGCGGGCCCAATAAATAAATAAAATTGCAAAAGACACTAAATTTCATAACTACTTAAAGATACATCTACAATTAGTTTAGCAAATATATACAGATTATTCAAATAGGATTTGACATAAGCACTCAAAAGAATTGTTTTATAAAATAAAAAATTATATATAATTCAGCAAAAGCTTGAATATCCAGAAAGCTAAAAAAATGCTGAATGCCAGGTAAGTGAATATTCTTGATAGTTGAGCGAATTAAAAGTAGCAGAAGACCCAAATGAATGGAAAAAGAAATTTCAGTCTAAAATTAGAAGAACAGTAATCTTATTTATTTTAGCTTGACTTTAAAAAAAAATACATTTAACTTTAAGAAAAATTTTTTAAAAATGGATTCCCGACATAACACGCAAAATACTTTTGTACGCCTTAAAGATATGAAAGTAATATATCTATCTAACCCACTTATGAAATCCTGTCAACAGGAACCTGCCAAACTTGCATTACATTGCCCATAAAAAAACTTAAATCCTTTGCCATAATTTTTCACATGCTTCACAACTGTTTATCCATTTTCAAATATAGTCAAATATACACTGGTGTGCAAAAATTAAGGACGAGACAGTTTTTTCAATATAACTTTGTACAAAAGCTTTCCAAATCAACACATTTAATACCGTAAGATCCCCAATACGTAAGGACATGAGTAATGTAAGCAACACTTACTAAAAGAGAAATCAGGAGGGATAAAAGAAGCTTTATTGAAAAAGTAGCATGGAGCGCAATGCGGCTGAAGGCCGAAACATCCCTGTGATGGGTGTCCAGCAAGAAACATCGGTCTTTAATAGGGGATATGATCTCCCCTGACTGCTAGGCAGGTTTCACAGCGTCTGCCCATGCTGAGAATGAGGTGTCAATGAGTTGTTGAGGCATTGCTGCCCATTCGTCTTGCAGCGCCAAACAAAGCTCCGGAATCGTTACTGGTGGTAAGGTACGAGCTGCCAAGCATCTGCCTAGAAAATCCCATACATGCTCGATGGGATTGAGATCCGGAGATCGTGCCGGCCAATCCATACGTTCAATATCCTCACTATCTAAGAGCTGTTCGGCAGCTACTGTGCGATGACATGGTGCATTGTCATCCATGAAAAGGAACTGCGGACTCATAGCGACTCTAAAAAGACGCACATATGGAAGAAGAATCTCGTTACAATAACGGGTCCCGTTGACTGAACCTGCGTCGAAGATGTGAAGGTCTGTACGACTACCAAGCATGATGCCTTCCCAAACGAGAACACCGCCACCTCCATACCTGTCCGTTTCAATGATGTTCGAGGGATGATTGCGGCTTCCCTGCTCTCTCCAGGTAAGTATCCGATGAGAATCGCTACTCAGACTAAATCTGCTCTCACCTGTAAAGAGTACTCGCCCCCATTGATTGTCTCTCCAATTCTGGTGTTCCCGGTACCACAGAGAATGCCTTCTCCGATGGGCAGGCGTTAGAGGTACACACCGTAGAGGGCGTCGTGCAAACAGACCACCACCGTGCAGTCTTCTGGCCACGGTAAAATGCAATATCGGTCATCCAGTCGCCTGTGTCGTGTGTCTAGCGATTTCTCCCGCTGTCTGCCGCCTGTATCTTCTGGCCTGTAAGGCAATATAGCGGTCATCTGCGGGTGTGGTTCCTCGTGGACGACCACTACTAAACCCCCCGATAGCTGTTCCTGTAGTTTGAAATTGTCTCCAAAGTCGTGAAACGATGCAGTGAGCAATTCCGAACTGGGCCTGATCTATAATCCGGACCTCAAAGCTACAAACTTTCTGCGCATGCGTCGCGTTCACGCATGTGCACAGGCGTTTACGAGAGCGCGTAAGACCCTTACGGCTGTGAATATGTTTGTGCGCATGCGCGTTTAATGTGTAACGGAGTTATATGCTAAGCTAAAGTTATCTAATTCAGTTAATGTTGCAGATTGCGTTGTTCCTTAATCTTCGAATCGGATCTGGCTTATTATTTTTTGCAGACTGTTAGAGCAATTTTATAAAAGTAAGCTTGAACTTTCGATTATGTCAAATAGAATTTCCGATATATATTTACTACAAAGCGAAAGTATGTTTTGAAATCCGAAATCTGTTTATCAATTTCACGCTGCTCTGCGGAAGGGGGGGGGGCAGAAACGTCATTATTAGATTATGATAGATTAGAAAGATTATGTCAAATAGAATTTCCGATACAGTCAAAAGTCGTTAATCCGGACTCCTCGGGACTTCGGCGATTCCGGATTATCGATTTTTCCGGATTATAGATCATCAGTTTAAATCTGGTAAGATGGCTTGCAGAAATTACAAAATTAAAATATGAAACCGTAATTTATGAAATAAAGAACAATTATGATCTAAAGGGTATCAAAATTTACAAAAAGAAAAAGCTTAATATTTATTTGTTTACTTTATTAAACATTTCCTTCAATGTAAGTTGCTTCGTTTCATGTGATAATACTTTCTCTTTAATTCTATTAAACAGACATAATTTCTTGTTTAGTTACAAAGTTCCCCTGTTCAAGTCCTATAATTGCGGTGTTGAGAATACCGACTAATTTGTCAATCGAAATGTTTTCGTTTTCAATAACCTCTGGGTCACTTTCTTCACTATCGGAAGCGAATTATAATGACGAGGAACTTGATTTAAATCATATCAAAGACGGAGTACATCGAGATGAAATACTACACTTAGTACGGAATTATAAACCAAATAAAATAAAAACATCTGCCCTGAAGATAAGGATAGTGCTGACAGATTAACTTCCAATCTGCGGCGTGAAATTGATAAACAGATTTCGGATTTCAAAACATACTTTCGCTTTGTAGATACAAATTACATATTAGTAAATATATATCGGAAATTCTATTTGACATAATCTTTCTAATCTATCATAATCTAATAATGACGTTTCTGCCCTCCCCCCCTCTGCCGCAGAGCAGCGTGAAATTGATAAACAGATTTCGGATTTCAAAACATACTTTCGCTTTGTAGTAAATATATATCGGAAATTCTATTTGACATAATCGAAAGTTCAAGCTTACTTTTATAAAATTGCTCTAACAGTCTGCAAAAAATAATAAGCCGGATCCAATTCGAAGATTAAGGAACAACGCAATCTGCAACATTAACTGAATTAGATAACTTTAGCTTAGCGTATAACTCCGTTACACATTAAACGCGCATGCGCACACATACTCGCAGCCGTAAGGGTCTTATGCGCTCTCGTAAACGCCAGTACGCATGCGCAGAAAGTTTGTAGCTTTGAAGTCCGGATTATAGATCATTCCGGATTATGGGTGTCCGAATTAACGACTTTTGACTGTATATATTTACTAATATGTAATTTGTATCTACAAAGCGAAAGTATGTTTTGAAATCCGAAATCTGTTTATCAATTTCACGCGGCGGATTGGAAGTTAATCTGTCAGCACTATCCTTATCTTCAGGGCAGATGTTTTTATTTTATTTGGTTTATAATTCCGTACTAAGTGTAGTATTTCATCTCGATGTACTCCGTCTTTGATATGATTTAAATCAAGTTCCTCGTCATTATAATTCGCTTCCGATAGTGAAGAAAGTGACCCAGAGGTTATTGAAAATGAAAACATTTCGATTGACAAATTAGTCGGTATTCTCAACACAGCAATTATAGGACTTGAACAGCGGAACTTTTAGTAGAATTAAAGAGAAAGTATTATCACATGAAACGAAGCAACTTACATTGAAGGAAATGTTTAATAAAGTAAACAAATAAATATTAAGCTTTTTCTTTTTGTAAATTTTGATACCCTTTAGATCATAATTGTTCTTTATTTCATAAATTACAGTTTCATATTTTTAATTTTGTAATGCATGCCATCTTACCAGATTTAAACTGATGATCTATAATCCGGAATCGCCGAAGTCCCGAGGAGTCCGGATTAACGACTTTTGACTGTATTCAGTTAATCTGGCTGCAAAAACTCCCTTCCCCCAAAAGCAGAATTTGAAGGTTTATGCTATTGTTGTGATAACAACATGAGAATGTTGTTTAGCAAAGGTTTTAAAAAGTGACAAAAAGTTTTTTCCACTGAAATTAAATGCCTAGTTATTGAAATGCTAAATACAATGAAATCAGGAGGACTATACAGAAAAGGTTTACATCATTCAAGACATTTATCTTGCATAACTATGTTAAGCCTAATGTTACTGAAAGACTTGTGCTTCCTATTTCAATTTTCTATCAACTTACATATTCTGTTTAAAATAATATTTTAGTTTAGAAAATGTATCAAAATCTGAGGCTAGGTTCCTTTGAAGACATATAAGTTAATATTTTTGATTAACAGAATTTACATAATAAAAAGAGATTGGAAAAGCTAAAAATTAAACATAAAGAACACAAAAGCATATCTACCGAGAACAAAATGTACTTAAAATTCTTTTTATTATTATTACTTGCAAATAACTCAATGTATTCAGAACATTTTCAATTTCCTAACAATTCCTGATGACAACACAATTATATTAAAAATTTGATATCTGAATACTTCCAAATAAAAATAACAATGGGAGAAGTCACTGATTATTTAAGCATGGCAAAACATGCAAGAACAATCTGCTTCAGATATAACTGGGATGATCTGACAGATGATTCTTCTATGGAAGTGGTGGACAAAAACACTATGCACTAAGCATATTTAACTATCAGGAACAAATTAAAGACAAACTGCCAATCAATAAAAGATATACTGAGATTTAAATAAAATGTCAAGTTTCATTCAATGATTCTTAAACATGACTTGTGCATGGATGCCACTCTGATAAAAATGTTGGCAGAAACCTTTTTAGAAGTTACAGAACCATGGCCTGTATGCATACATAATAAAACAATATTTATATGTAGTAATTTTAATTTTGAAAGGAATTTATTTTTGACAAATTTGCCATTAATCTACAAGCAGCAAATCAAAGCCTAAATGCACAAGAGCACATGAAAAAAGATGTATTCCTTCATTTCAAATAGATTTGGGGTATAAATGATAAATGAAATATGTTTCACTAAAGCAGATGATAATTTTAACAGATATTATAATCCTATCAGTAGTTGAACTAGTTCCCTATCCTATTAGTAGTTGAGCACAGTCAACAATAAAATAAAGTTGCAGTCCCACAGTCAGGAAATAGTCTGCAGAAAAATATTCAATGAATTAGATATAGAAAGAAAGAAAAAAAAAAAAAAAAAAAAAATTTCTCTTTTTATAATAAAATTCATTGCATTAAGTTATATATTTTTATTGGAAAATACCTATCTTATATTTGTAACTGTATGATGTCAATCAAAGTGCTCTGAATTTTTATTTTGGAAGGAAAAAAAAAGTGCATTTCAAATAGCTCTATTTACCTGGTTCTAATGGCTATGGAAGAAAATGTTTATTGTCTTATTTAAACTCTGTACAAAACATTAACTACTGACACCTGCATATATACTTAATTTTTTAATTCTTTTTCAGAATAGAGCATTAAAAATGTATCTGAATAGCTGAAAATATAGATAATAATACAATAATAGCTATTACTGATATGTTGTCTACTATCATTATTCATGTCCACATTTACCCTTCCCCAAAGACAGATTCGTCAATTTGAAAAGTGTCATAAGTAGCTTTGAACCCTAATACAAGATTATGTATATATATATTAAACACATTTATAATTAAAAAACTACTATCACATTTTACAAGCCTTTTTTCAATCTATTTCATGATTTTTTATATATTAAGGGATATACAAATAAATTTCAAGATTGCTTTGTTTCATATGCAGTTTTCTAAATCTGCTGAAAGCTTTTCCAATCAAATCTAAACACAAAATTAAAGAGATGTTTCGATTTCTTTTTAAATCTTTACCTAAATTATTATGTAGATTCAGTAATGAAATAATATTTCTTTTTTTAATTTCTGGATTATAAATTATATATATATATGATGAATCTATATATCAGGGCGGAACAATGAATTATTATTTAGGTTTTGTTAGGTATATACTATATTTGTTTAAAAAGCTTTTATTATTTTTTCATAATGGAGGACAATGATGTTATTTAATTAACATTCACAGATTAATACACACTTCACTGATTAAACATTAAAAAAAAAACTCACTAATGAAAATTGTATGAAGCTATTTAAGTTGTCAAATAAGAACAGAGCAATTGATGTTTACCTTAAGTTAGCCATGAAAAAATATGCTGCCCTCACAATGAAAATTTTAATATTTAGCCACTTAATTTTATAAAAACTTGTAGGGATGAAAAAATATTTAAACTTGTCATATATTATCTTTATGTTAACTTTTATTAAGGTTACAAACCTACTTTAATTTTCAAAAGCGTACCTCATTAAACATGTTAACATGTCACTACGTGTGAATGCAAACAAACATTCAGGGTTTTTAAATTTGTGTAGGAAGGGACTACAGTAAAACAAAATCAGAGGGCTTTTATAAACTACCCAAGTTTACATTTGTATTCATTTTAAAAATGCACCAGTAAACCACCATTTTGTAATAAAGCATATCATTATTTATGCATAATTACTGAACATGAAATTATATATATTGGCAACGGTAATACAAACTCGTGTGAAAGCCATGGTTATGTAGAGCTGAAAATATATATCACAAGCAAAATAACATTAAAGAGAAAATTAAATTTCCTCTGTGACAAAATGCAAATCACAGAGTTATATCTTAAGGGTTATCAAATAAGTTATAATGTAGCAACATAATACATTTATAAAAGCTTAGTATTCTAATATAATAAGGTTGTTTGGGGAGCATTCCATGTACCACCAATAAAAGTGCAATTGATTAATAATATTGCCTAATATCTAACAGCTCACTGCAAGACCAAGTTTCAAAGAAGCAAAAGAAATGATAGCACACTAACTTATTCATGACTGAGAAATATTTTTATTAGTTTTACAAAATTTTTTATAATGAATAAAAAAGTGCTGTACATTATTTGGTTTTAAATTTAGAATATATTCAAAAAATTATACTATTCAATTGAAAGTTTTCAAATCAAACAACATAATTTATTAAATATATATTAGATACATATTGTACACAGCTGGGGAGGATTAGAGTTGTTCTTCAGTAGACTAAGTATAATAAAAGAAAATGCTTTGCTTAAATTTTTTTATTTTTTCAACAGACATAATTCTTTTGTGCATATAAAAATGTATACATAATCATAGCACTAAAATAACTTTTTGTATCAGATAGCATACTATTTCCAATATTAAGTCATACCTCTAGAAGGATTTAGCATATTATTAAAATGGAATTTGCCTGCTGAATTAAACTTAAAAATATGAAATAATAAAAGTAATTTGAAATATATACGGCATCATCAGCAAAATATTTTTCAGCCATGATCTGTTATGTACAATTGATACATTTTTAATGAATTAAATAAGCTGACTAACCTTTCCATTCCTTCCTAGGTAGAACTTTTTTCAAGACCACCACATACTTAGCAACACATAAACAGGTTGTGCATAACCATGAGCAACTTTTTTATTTGTTATTTAGTTATGCACATTAATTACTAATAAAATGAATTCTAATTACAAATTTATCTATCTCTAATATACAATTATTAAACATTGTAATGTAATGATCTTTTCAAAGCAAATTATGATATGTAATCACCAAATAAAATTCAACAGCATCTATATATATTTGTAGAATACTTTAGTATTTAGTGGTCTAGAAATAAGTTAATAAAGATTTTTAAAGTCTGAGTTAAAATGAAGAAAATCTAGAGCTGAACTATTGCAAAATAAGTTTTAAGGAAGGATTATTATAAGGTGTCAGATTTTAGTTTTAAAAATATGGCCATTAAAAAAGATTTTAAAAAATCATACTAAGCAGCGAGATTACACTCCTCTTCATACTTTTTAGGGGGTGGGGGAGGTCTGGTGTTAAGTAAAAATAAAATGTTACATATAAATACTGGAAAGGTTTTATTAATGTTATTACTAAATGATATTTAAAAATAAGATAATTACAGCTATTACTTTTTATTTTCTTCATAGCTGTAAATATGAAACTTTACTAAAATCTACTCACTGCTTAGTAAACAACTAAAACTGCTGGCATGAGATTCTGAGGAGGTTAATAATTTAGTGAAGAGATATATATATTGGCCTTGCAGTGAGCTTGTAATAGCATACTAAAAGAGAGCTTCATGCAAAAGCAGTAAGGGCCAATACCAGAATGAGGTCATCAGCAGGGTCACGAGGGCGCTTCTTGCCGATCAAGGTCTCGACCACGTGCGGCTAATTAGTATGCACAGCAGTTCGTGGTGTATGGCCGATTGTTTGGTAGGTGGCAGGAGTGGGCAGCACGACACAGCAAGCGGCAAGGCGACGAGAGAAACAAAAAAAGAGAGCAACAATTATAGTTCAGCTCACCATGTCTATGCATGCAGTTTGAGAGCCACTCAAAAGTAAATAAAAGGCCTTGTCCTCTGTAGCCGCTTAAAGGGCTCATAAATGTTTTGTCGTATCTATATGCAAAATATTTACAGACTGCTTTAGTAGCGTTTTAGTGTTATCTTTACATTGGCAGCAGAAAATAAGAGAGGCTTTCACCCAAAATATTGCTCGTTCTTTCACTTTATTAACAAAACTCATTTTAATACATTTACTGATATGCTTTACTAAAAAAAAAAAAAAAAAAAAAAAAAAAAAAATTAAATCATATCAGATCTATATTTTATAGGATTTTGTGCACTTAACAAGTTCAAATGCATCTTCAAGCCTAAATGAAGCCAGTAAACAATCCAATTGTGAATTTTAAAAACAAAGAACTAAAAGTAAACTTCATAAAATTTAAATTTTAACTCATCACAAATCCATAAGTTTTGCAATGAAAAGACATTAATAGTTCACTATAAGAAGGTATGAAAATGATTTCACTACTAAAAAATGAAGTTTGTAGTCCACACAGATGTTTTTAAAAAAAGACATGCATCTAGAAAACATAATTGTGGCAAATTAAAAATTTAAATATATATATATCTAGATGATGGGGAATACACTCTTTCTCAAAGTGCACAAAACCCAAAATAAATACTTTAATGCTAGAATGAAGTCTTTTGCTAAATTTAAACAAATTTTAAATCTTTGTGCTTGTAGGGATCTCCTGTTTAAAGGCAATAAGTAAGTCACCTAACTGGTATTTTATATGTTAATACGTAAAGTTTAGTTAATAAAGAGAAGATTCAAGTTTATAACACTAAAACTATAGGATTGGGGACATGCAGCACAGAGGACATGTCCAAACATATAAATTATACGGATCCCAATACTTCATGCAGTGCACTAGCATAACAAGCTTACAATAAACAAAATCAATAATTACATTACTAACATTCATGGCTGAAAGGTTACTTTGATACATAATAATAGAGAGTAAGTAAGAAAGAAAAAAAAAATTAAAGCACTTGTATGGTAACAGTCCAGCAACAGATGTTTCATGCTATCAAAACATTTAACTCTACAGTTATTAAGTGATGAATGCCACAAAAAGGGGGGAGCTATCCTATTTACACATAATTATACACATTCCTGGATAACTAATTAATTTATATTATGCATTCAAGTTTTTAATACTTGGTTCTATTTATATGCATATGAGTACATATACATACATGTAAACACAAGCAATAAAGCTCTGAAATATGTTTTTATACAAATATTATGTAAATTTTTTGAAAATAAATAATTTAAATATGTATCACATAATGCTACCTATTTTTCACAAGGGTTGCATTTGAAAAATAAAAATAATTTAAGCAATACTTGCATGCATAAATAAATACATTTACTAAATATTAACAGACCGGGGGGGGGTCAGATGACTATACAGCTAATGTTGCTGATAGTAGTGCATAAACAAAAGCAAAACTGCATTTATATTAGTATCCTCAAATGTATATAACTTGAAGCTAACACATCATAATAAAAGAATAAAATATAAAAGTAAACTGCTAGTGATGCTTTTAAATAGAAAATAAAAGTTCTACTTGATAACATCAAGACTGACATTCATGTTAACTATCATGCGAATTAAATCGTTAAAATTTAAGAGCAATCTTACTCCTTTCAGCCATGCTAATAAAATGAATACAAAAACAATGAAACAACTTTCTTTTTAAATGTTTAAAGTTAAGTCAAATTTTAGTTAAATAAAAAAAAAAGTTTTGGAAATTACGTTTTTGTATTCATAAGTGTGTTTTTATATTTAGTTTCCTCATTCAGACTTGCCAACTGAAATTATTTTACACACAACCAAAAAAATTATACACATATTTTATGTAGAATCACCAAAAATCTGCCAATAGAGTACAGCATGATTCAATGCAAAAACAAGAATATTTTTGTGATAAATAATACACTTTTCATGCCAATAGAAAAGAGAATTAAAATTAAATGGTAATAGACATCTAGACAAAACACAATGCAGCATATGTAAAATGAAGTGACAAAGCTCAAGTTATACTAAAAATTACAAAATATTTAATATTTTACAAATAACTAAGTAGCTATTTCCCCCTCCCCTTAGCATAGTGGTACACAGAAAACTACTTTCTACATATGAATAATTCTTTACTTATTGTCCGTATGCTTCTTAGCAAATATAATATGCTAAACTGCACATTTTTAGCTAAACAATATAAAAATTGCTTCAATGAAAAAATTAACAAGTATTTCAGCTACAAACTATTCTAAATTGTTAGTTAAATTAATTATTACTCTTCATATTAAATGTTCATGGTAAATTTAAAGGGGTTCAGTTTATTTTTAATATTGGAGATTATTAAATATTTCACTTCCTCGTTTAAAAAAATTCTCACATTTGTGTACAAATAAGGGTATAAGTGTATCAATTAACTAAATATTAATAGTATTACACAAAATTAAAGTAGCGCAACATAAAAACTTACAATGAGAAAAAGAACACACTATTAAAATATCGTGAACACACTATCGTGATATAATCACATTTTTAATAACAAGTACTTAAATTAGTGAACTTTCTTCAACTCACATTTAAACCACTCAGAAACATTAAGGTATTTATGTATAATATATTGTCAATGCCAAATCAAAGCCAGAAGTCTAAAAAATCACTGTTCTAAGAAAAACACGTTTAAGATTTGACATACAGTTGAATTAGAAAAAAGTTAAGTTATAACTCCAATATATAATATATTTATGTGTTGAAGTTATAACACATTATATATTTATGTGTTGAAGATATAACACATTATATTTGTTTCACTTTTTTCCTTTAGCACAATATAAAACAAAGCATAACTCAGTGTAAAATGCAAGTAAATGGAAATAATAAAAACTGCTAATTCCCGATTTTGGTATAGTGACAGTAATATATAAAAAGCACATGCCATAATAACTACTGGTTAATGCAATCAAGATATCCCACAATCATAATCCTAAACATAGAACAAAAAATCTAAATTAATGAAGTAGGATTTCAAATTTCTTGTTACACTCTTCAAAACGAAATCCAGAGGAAACAAAATAATAATAAATATAATGAATATGGGCTAAGCATAGGAATGATCAAGAAATGGCACAAATGTAATGAATACGGGCTAAGCTTAGGAATGATCTAGAAATGGCACAAATGCTGAAGTAGTCATCAAATTCAAATAATTCTAAACAGTCATTTTATTTTCAATCTAATACAGTCCAAAGTTCAACATGAACTAATATTTGGATGTACCAAACACCACTAGCCCCCCCCCAAAAAAAAAAGTATTTTCCCAACCTTCTTTTTTTTTTTTTTTTTTGAGAATTTTTCTTTTATAAAGTGTAGGAATGGAGAAAGTTGTACTTCAGAAAAGCAGGTATGCCATAGAAGTGATTTTTCTCCTACCTAAGATTTCTTATGTTATTTTCAAACACCTGCTGGCCAAGGAATCGCACTATGCCAATGACCATGTATCAACTGACATTGCATTGATGTTAGCCGAGACAATACTTACAACCCTTGAATGATTTGTTGAAGGTGGGGCCGTTAGCATTTTTCTGTTGGGCATAAATAAAATCTCAAGACACATTTATTTGGTATGGAATGTTACTCATACTGTTTTTGTTTTGTTAACACAGCAGAAAGGAAGGAAGAAAGAATTAAGATTCCAAAGAATTTACGATCAGTTAGCATAGCTCATTGCATTCTTCCCTTAACTATTTGGTTTAAAGCAGCTTATTATTTTGTTTATTATTATAAATTTTATAGTAAATGACAGCATTTCTAATTTACCCTTTTCTCAAAACAGTGCATACATAAATCACTTAATGGATATCAGAATTTTGTGCATACTGAAACGCAGATATAAAATAGCTTTTTAGTATCAGATGCAACATTATGAGCAGCTACGAATTTTAGAAATATTTTAATGTAAAATATGATGTATGGGACAATGGAAGATCACGAGAGATACTTATAGACATTTTCTAAAATGCTAGGCATAATTTATTAGCCAGCTATTAAATTGTATGATGATGAAGAGAGCCATGAATTTTAATGTTTTCGAACATCACACGAAAATGTAAAATTTCCCGATTAATGGAATGTGAGAAAGAATACAGAAGACACAACTGAAGTCTTGTATTACAATGACAATGCATCAATCAACAGAATGGCGTATACTTCTAGTAAGGTTTTAAGCACGAAAAACTATTGTCGTTTTGGCTTAAGTCACATTTAATTTCACATGATGGTAATTCAGGGAAAAAAAAAAAAAAAAAAAAACTTTCTTAAAGAAATATTAATAGAGAATACTTCTTTTTAAATTTCGGTGTCATTTTATTAGATTTAAATTGATGATAAAAAATCTGGAAAATTTCGAAATCCAGAATCAGTGAAATCCCAATGATTCTAGGTCTCAGACTCTGTACTATATCATGCAGCAGTCAAACTAAGTCAAGGCAAGGTTTTCAAAGGATTAGGTATTAGGTAAAAGAAATTATCCACATCAAATTCCATCAATTTAATTTGTTTCAGTCAAATGACTTAATACTCCATTTATTTTAAGCTAAGTTCTTCAAAGCTTATATAAAGACTGAACAGAAAAACATTATTTCCCTCTCTAACACTACTTTCACAAAATCATAAGCTTTAAAAATAGCTTCTCTACGAGGGGGACACACTATGGGGGAAAATAAGCTTCTCTATGAGGGGGAATAGACTATGGGGAAAAATTATCATTCAGCTAGCTTTTCATTTAAAAACATGATAACAATGA